ACGGCACAGCATGCAAGGCACACTTCACATCGCGCAACAGACATTGCACCATGCAGATCAGGTGCACAACCAAGGTTGCACACCATATGTATTTCCACATGTATTGCACCACGTGTATTATTGCACCGTCTGTATTGCACCAAAATGGGTGCATCTCTATATATATATATATATATATGTATGCGTATGTATGTACATACATCTATACATATTGTCAGAACGATTGTGTGGAGTCCACGCTGGTTCATATGATCTATGTTTAAGCAGTTTGTCGAATGTATTAATCATCTGGATATCACGTGTGTGTGCCGTTCCTGTCGGATTCTCGCTTTTGTGAAGTTGAATGCAGTAGCGAGCTGTTTGGGTCTGGGGCTGGCTCTTCCCATGCCGCAATAGTATCGCAACCCTACAAGCCATACGACCCCCTGAGTATGTGATACGTTCCCGTTCGTATTGTCGTATGATTATAAATCCCTCTGTTCGTGTTTCTGCATCTCTATCGTTTTTATGTTTCCTTTCGTTTATCAGTATTTCTCTCTCTCTCTCTCTCTCTTTCTCTATGTTTCTCTTTGTGTTCCTTTGTCTTCCCCAACAAAAAACAACAACCGATACAGCGAAGCGGTCCAGGCTTGCATCCAGGTTTCCGCCAGGCGGCATGATTGAGAAAGAGGAGTAGGAGGAGGACAAGGCCGAGGAGTAAGAGGAGGAGGGTGAGGAGGAGGAGAGGTAGGAGAAGGAACAGCAGGATGAGGAGGAGAAAGAGGAAGAGGAGGAGGAGGAGGAGGAAGAGGCGGAAGAGGAAGAGGATGAGGAGGAGGCAGAGGAGCAGGAGTTGTGGTGGTGGTGGTCACTGCATAGGGGAAAAACAAGTGGCGAGCAAAGCAACACGCAAGACGACCACGACGACGCCGACAACGACCACGAAGGCAAGGCCCGCAGACGATCCGCACCGAAACACGGATAGGGATAAGGGCCCACCCTGCAGGTTCGGTTCAACAACGCATCGCTGAGCGGTGCTGCAGCCCCCCTTTGAATACAGGTTTCCCCTGAACATCAGCCAGGTAACCTGGGTTTGCACCTTCATGTCTTGCTGAACTTTGGGCGAGTGTCGGCATCGCCATTGCCGCCGCCACCCCTTTGTCAGGGCCACCGATTCGGGTGACGGCGACGGCGACAGTGGCGGCGGCCGGCGCGTCCCAGATCTAAGAAAGTCCAAGCACCGCGCTTCAGCGAGCCAGGGAGACAGACAGACGGACGACCAACAGCCAGGCGGCGTGTAACGCACGCCAAATAGGTGGTCATCGCATAAGGGAAGCAACTCCCGAGCAAAGCAACACGCAACACGACCACGACGACGCCGACAACGACAGCGAAGACGAGGCGCGCAGACGATCCGCACCGAAACGCGTATCAGGGAAATTGCCCACCTTGCAGGTTCGTTTCAACAGCACATCGTTGAGCGGTGCTGCGGCCTCCACTGAGCACCGGGCCCCCCATGGCATCAGCCAGGCAAGCCGGGTTTGCACTCCCATGCCTTGCTGGACTCTAGGCGCGTCTCGGCATTGCCACTGCCGCCGCCACCCCCTCGTCATGACCACCGACTCGGGTGACGGCGACAGCGACAATGGCGGTGGACGACGCGCCCCAAAGCTGAGAAGATTTCAAAGGCGCGGTCCAGAGAGCCGAGAAAACAAACGGACGGACGGACGGACAGCCAGACGGCGCGCAACGGTTGGCACGCCAAGTGGGTGGCCGCTGCATAGGGGAAGCAAGTCCCCAACAGAGCCACACGCAACACGACCACAACAACGCCGACAACGACAACGCAAACGAGGCGCGCTACAAATTACACCGAAGCGCGGATTAGTGGAATGGCTCATTCTGCAGGTTGGGTTCAACAACCCATCGTTGAGCGGTGCTGCGGCCCCCCCCTGAGCACAGGCCCCCCCAGGGCATCAGCCTGACAAGCCGGGTTTGCACTCTCATGCTTTGCTGGCATGTGGGCGCGTCTCGGCATTGCCACTGCCGCCGCCACACCCGCGTCAGGGTCAGCGACTCGGGCGACGGCGAGAGCGACATTGGCAGTGGCCAGCGCGTCCCAGAGCTAGGAAGTTCTAAGTAACGCGGTTCAGAGAGCCTGGAAGAGACATTCGGACGGGCGGACGTCAGGCGGCGTACAATGCTTGGCGCGCCAAGTGTGAGTGTGTGTGTATGTGTGTATATGTGTGTGGCGTATGTATGTATGTATGTATGTGCGTGTGTGTGTGTATGCGTGTGCGTGTGCGTGTGCGTGTGCGTGTGCGTGTGCGAGTGCGTGTGCGTGTGCGTGTGCGTGTGCGTGTGCGTATGCTTGTGCGTGTGCGTGTGCGTGTGCGTGTGCGTGTGTGTGTGTGTGTGTGTGTGTGTGTGTGTGTGCGGGTGCGGGTGCGTGTGCGCGTGCGCGTGCGCGTGCGTGTGCGGGTGCGGGTGCGGGTGCGGGTGCGGGTGCGGGTGCGGGTGCGTGCGGGTGCGGGTGCGGGTGCGGGTGCGGGTGCGGGTGCGGGTTCGGGTGCGGGTGCAGGTGCGGGTGCGGTTGCAGGTGCGGGTGCGGGTGCGGGTGCGGGTACGGGTGGGGGTGTGGCCGTGTGTGTGTGGCTGTGTGTGTGAGCGTGTGTGTGTGTGTGTGTGCGTGTGTGTGTGAGCGTGTGTGTGTGTGTGTGTGTGTTTGTGCGTGTGTGCTTGTGCTTGTGCTTGTGCTTGTGCTTGTGCTTGTGCTTGTGCTTGTGCTTGTGCTTGTGCTTGTGTTTGTGCTTGTGCTTGTGTTTGTGTGTTTGTGTGTGCGTGTGTGCGTGTGTGGTCACTGCATGAGGGAAGCAAGTCCCGTGCAGAGAAACAAGTACCACCTACACGACGACGCCGACAACGACCACGAAGACGAGGCGCGCTGACGATCCGCACCGAAGCACGGATTAGGGTGAGTGCCCACCCTGCAGGTTCTTTTCAACAGCGCATCGTTGAGCGGTGCTGCAGTTTCCCCTGAGCAGTGGCCCCCCCAGGGCATCAGCCAGACAAGTCGGGTTTGCGCCTTCATGTGTTGTTGAGCTTTGGGCGCGTCTCGTTCGACACCTGCCACTGCCGCCGCCGCCACCTCGTCAGGGCTACCGACCAGGGTGACGGCGGCAACGACAGTGGCGGAGGCCGGCGCGCCCCGGAGCTAAGACGCCCTAGGCGCCGCAGCTCCGAGAGCCTGGAAGACGGACGGACGGACGGGCGGGCAGCCGGGCGGCGTGCAGTGCTCGGCACGCCAAGTGCGTGGTCGCTGCACGAGGGGAGCACGTCCCGAGCGTAGCAAGGTTGGCAACGCGTAACACTGGACCACGACGACGCCGACAACGGCAACGATCACGAGGCGCGCAGCCGATCCGCATTGAGGCGCGGGTTAAGGAAAAGGGCCCATCTTGCAGGCTCTGTTCAGCAGCACGTCGTTGAGTGGTACAGTGAGCGGCCTGCGTAAGGAACACGTACTTTTCAAAAGGGGCTCGGTCGTTCCTTAAGGCTTGCATGCGTTACGTATCGTTCCTCATGCGTTTTTGATTATGAGTTATCATTCCTTATGCTTTTTTCCTTGGAAAAACAGGGGCTTCGTTCCTGATTTATCGTTCTTTAGGTCAGGCCGATGACTGTACTGCAGCTTCCCCTGAGCACAGGCCCCCCTCAGAACATCAGCCTGGCAAGCCGCGTTTGCACCTTCATGCCTGGTTGGGCGTTGGGCGCCCTTCGTTCGACACTGCCACTGCCGCCGCCGCCCCCCTGTGAAGGCCACCGGCTCGGGTGACGGCGACAACGACAGTGGGGGAGGCCGACGCGCCCCAGAGCCAAGAAGCTGCACGCACCGCGGCTCAGAGAGCTGGAGAAGAAAACGAACACACGGACGGATTGACGGACATCCAGGCGGCGCGCAACGCTTGGCACGCCGAGTGGGTGGTCATTGCATAAGAGAAACAGCCCCGAGGAGGAGGAGGAGCAGGAGGAGGAGGAGGAGCAAAAGTGAGGAAGAGGACGAGGACGGAGGGAGGAGGCGGAGGCTCCTCTTTACAAAACATGGAATCTCGCCCGAAATTGTCCCACGGGGCGGTTCTTTTCCAAAAGGTCGCCCCCCGCTGGGGCAGGGAACCAGGGGCTCACGGGCAGGAGCTTCAGGAACGGGCTTGCCAGCGGCTGGCCCAAGATAGTGTCATACCTCCCGATGGGGCCGCCGCAAAGACCTGCGGCCTCTTGCGAATCTTCTCCGCGTCGACGCATGATGTGCCCCCAAGTAGATGTTTTACAGCAAGGGTCCCTGTCGAACGTGCCCGCTGTAGTACAGCATCGTTGACGTGCCTTGGGTCTACTCTGGCCCCTCCCCTCGGCTCTCTTTTTTCCGTTCTCTCTCTCTCTCTCTCCCTCTCTCTCTGTTGTTATGTAATCATTTATTATTGTTGTTTCCCCTATCTCTCTCTCTCTTTCTCTCTCTCTCTCTCTCTTTTTCTCTCTCTCTCTCTCTGTTTTTTTTGTTCTCTCTCTCTCTCTCTTTCCATGTATGTATGTGTATCTATTTATATATACATACGTATCTCTCTGTTTGTTTCCCCTCTCTCTCTTTCTCTCTTTCTCTCTCTCTCTCTCTTTCTCTATTTCTCCATTTATCTCTCGGGAGAAAAGGCAAACATAAACTGGCGGCGACCAGGCCCGAGGACGGCGCGCTGGCGCTACCCCCCCCAGCACCGCGCCGCTAGGGGGGTGTTCCCCCCGGCCGCCCGTGCTCTGCCCTCCCCCCCCCCCCCCGCGGCTAGCCACGGGAGGCTGGCGGCGGCTAGCCACGGACAAGGTAGAGCGGGAGAGCCGCGCTTCTGAGTTTGCACGCTGGGCGGCGCGCGCGTGGCATATTGTATAGCATTTGTCCTGCCCCTCGCAGGCCATTCTATGCCAGGACCTTCTGCTTCTGCTTCTGCCACCCCCGCCGCGCGCTTGCCGCGAGAGAGGTACCCCGAGAGCGACGACGAGGAGGAGGAGGACCGCGGCGGCGGGGGGCGCCCAAAAGGGGGCGCCCAAGAGGGGTTGCGGACGGGGGGGGGGAGGGGAACGAACAGTGACGTAAACACAGGAACTCGGAAGTCCGCGCGGATTTCTCAGATCCGCGCTGGACCCCGCTGGCGGCGCCTCCGGCGCCGCCCCTGGCGCGCTCATCCAAGAAATCCGCGCGGAGCGCCAAAGTTTATGTTTATGGCGTTTCTTTCTTCCTAAAGCCGAAAATCCAGAAAATATGAAAATATTGGGAATCCTAGGATTTGGATCCGAGAAATCCCCGCGGACCTTTGAGTTTTTGTGCTTATGCCATTCTTCGTTTCCCCAGTGAGGAAGGCATGGCCCGGGCCAGGATATCTCCTGGGTCTCGTGGCCCCCCTCTCGTCCGCACACGTGCCGCGGGCCATGCTCTGCAGCCCCCTTCTGCCACGCCCCCCATCTCCGGGAAGCCCCCGGTGGCGGGGCGAGGATCTGCACCTGGGACGTTCGAAGAAGAAACACGTGCACGAACAGAATCGGTCCTCGGTCTTTTTCGATCGGCAGTGGGACCCCGCTGGCGGCGCTTCCGGCGCCGCGCCTGGCGCGCTCCGCCCGCCAGGGAGGGAGCCCAGCGCCGCCCACGGAATTCCGAAGGTCTGTGTTTGTGTGGTCGTCCCTTCGTTTAGACTACAGCTTATGGTGTTCGTCAGAGTACCGCGGGTGCATTCGCTTCGCGCGCCGCGCGGTGAGCTCCCGCGTGCGTCAAGAAGCTGCTGTGTCCTGGGCGATCCCTGGCTTTCCCCCTCGTTGCAGCTCGCTCCCGGACTTTCAGCACTGGGTTTCTCTTGCGAGGGGCTAGCCCGCGTCCGCACTGTGGCCTCACGAAGAGAAGGGGTGCTCGGGCTATGATGTTGCAACCTACTTTAGCCTTGATCACCAGAAAGAATTTCGAGCACTCAGAAAGTACCAAAACTCGAGGGTTCTCACGTGTCGGGTCCTGGGAGACACTCGTTCGACACTGTTTCGACACTGCTTCGACACTCTTTCGACACTTTTCCGGGTGCTCGAAATTATTTCTGGGATGTGGTCCTTCAGTACGAGGGGAGCAACATAATGCTCGGGGAGAGGAGACCCCAGAGGTCTCCCGGGGTGCCCTCCCACGGGCCCCATGACCGCCGAGAGCAGCTCGGGAGGGGCAGTCGGACCCCAGAGGCAGCCCCGGGCGTCCAGGACCCGCCCCCTCCTGGGCCCAAGGTTAAGTCGGGCCTGCCCCTCTACAGGGGGAACATTCAAAAATAGTCCAGAAATAGTCTGGGGATTTGTTTTGTATTTTTCGACCATTTTGGAGCATGTTTGGGGTATTTTTTATTTTTCGTCGAGGATCCCCCTGTAGGGGGACACGCCCAACTTTAGCCAAGGAGGCAACTGGTGGGGAGCAGAAACGTGTGCCTTGTGGACCCAGGCCGGGCCATTTGCTACTTGCGGCGGCCCACACCCGACCACGCTACGACAAGCGGGCAGTGAGCTAGCTGCTCATCGAAATGGCGCCCTATACCTAGAGCGCTGCTTCCACCAGCCTCCTGGACCCGCTCTCCGCACGAGAGGTCGAGGAGCGATGCGTGCTCGACAGACTCGCCTTTCCTTTTGGAGAGCCTCGCAGGAGGCCCAGGCAGGGGCCCCACATCGACCCCCGTCGCGGGCAGCCTCCGCGCGCCGAAGGCGCTCCGACCCCCGTCGCGGCGCGACGACGAGGCGAGGTCGACCCCCGTCGGGGGGTACCCCCTCAAGGTTATTAAGAGACCCAGAGTAATCATCAACGTTCGGAGGTCCGCTCGGATTTCTTGGATCTGCGCTGGATCCCCCCGGCGGCGCCTCTGGCATTGCCCTCAACGCGCTCCGCGCGCCAGGGAGGGAGTCACGCGCTGATCCAGGAACCCCGCGCGGACCTCCGAACGTTTATGTTAATGTTGTTTCTCTTCTTTGGGGGGGAGGGCGTGCACCGATGCGGTGGGGGCCCATGCCAAGGAACACCCTGCTTGCCTCCAGGTTGCCCTGGGGTTCTTGGGTTTCGATGGTTTTGCGATGGAGAGCGTGACGTTCCCACACCAAAAATCGATGGACGTCCTGTGGTCTCAGGGATGGGTTTCTTGTGGAAGGTCTTGTGGACTGGCCTCCGCTGGTGGGGACAGCAGCAGCTGGAGCAGTGGTCGACACCTGCCAGCGGCCCGCGGGCTTCCCCTTCTCGTCCTCATCCTCATCCTTCTTCTCGTCCCCACGCTCTCCTTCAACTCTCCTCCATCCTCTCGTCCACCCTCCTCTCTCTCTCTCTCTCTCTTTCTTTCGTTCTCTCTCTTTTTTGTTTTTTTTTTCTCTCTCTCTCTCTCTCTCTTTCAGTCTTGTTGTTGTTGGTGTTGATGTTGTTGTTGGTGTTGTTGGTGGTGTTGTTGGGGTTGCTGGTGTTGTTGTTGTTGGTGGTGTTGTTGTTGGTGTTGCTGTTGCTGTTGTTGGTGTTGCTATTGGTGGTGGTGTTGAACTCTCATTTCTGAAGAATGATTATTGTTGATACCCCCTGTCCGGTGCCCATTGTTTTTTTCAATTGAAGTGCTTCCTCCGGGACTCGCACCTTGCTTTTTGACAGGGAAAGCCTTGCGGATCAGATTGCGTTGTTGGGCCCCGGACTACAACAACAACGGCTCCCGCCTGAGGCTTCCTCACAATTTCCTCGGACCCCCGCTCCCGCCTGAGACTTCCTCAAAATTTACTCCGTAAGGGCGCTCCCGCTTCAGACTTTCTCACATTTTACTCAGAAGCGGCGCTCCCGCTTGAGACTTCCTTAATCAGGACCCCTGCTCCCGCCCGAGACGTCTTCATAATTTACTCAGGAATGGCGCTCTCGCTTAGGACTTCCTCGCAATTTATTGCAGCATCGCGTTCTCGACGCTCAGGAACCACGCTCGCGCCAAGGGCGCCCTCGCAATTTACTTAGGAATCGCGCTCTCGCTTAATACTTCCTCGCAATTTACGCAAAAATCCCGTTTGAATGTCCCGCCCGCCCGACCCGCCCGTCAGGGTCCGCCCGCCCGACCGGCGCTCCCGCATGAGACGTCCGACAATGTACTCGGGACCCCCGCTCCCGCCCAACTCTTCCTTGAGGGATACGCCTTCGCCTAGGACTTCCTAGAACGTTCACACTCTTACCCTCCTGCCCCTTCCTCCCCATCCAACCTCCCTCCTTCCTCCCCTCTCCCTCATATCCACCCTCCTCCTCCCTCTTCCTCTCTCCCCTCACCCTCCTCCCATAACCCTCCTCCCTCCTCTCTTCGCCCTCCCCTCTCCAGCCTCCTCCTTCCTCCCTCCTCTGTCTCTCTATCTCCAATCGTCCCCCCCCCCCCTCCTCGCCCCCTCTCTCCTGGCGTGTTCCCCTTTAGCCTCGTCCCTCCCCCTCCCTTCCTCCCACTCTCCCTCGTTCTCCCCCTTCCTCTTCTTGCAGGGCCCGCGCTAATTCCAATGGTGGGCAAAGAGATGCGTGCCCCATCCTCCGGATAATTCCCCGCCCGTTCACGCCTGCTTGTCTAAGCCCGCCCGCCCCCGCAAAAAGAAAGAATCCCCCCGGAAGGGGGTACGCTCGAAGACGAAGGGGGCGGGTATCCAGGGCGTGGGTATACACGTTGCATGGCACGCGGGCAAGTAAGAGCGAACAGTCTTAAAATGATTGTTGTTGTTGGTGCTGTTGTTGTTGTTGTTGTTGTCGTTGTTGTTGTTGTTGCTGTTGGTGTGGTTGGTGTTGTTGGTGTTGTTGGTGGTGGTGGTCGTGTTGTTGGCGTTGTTGTTGGTGTTGTTGAATGTTTATTATTCAACAGTTTTATTGTTGGACCCCCCAGGCGCCCTGGCGCTCTCGCCTCGGCGCCGGCTACATCGTCATTGAAGTTAAGTTCGCGCTCGAGCGGTTTTTTGGGCGCCAAAACGGCCCCCCCAAACAACAACAACAACAACAACAACAACAACAACAACAACAACAACAACAACAACAACAATCACTTTACCCGAACGCTCAGTGTTCTCACCAGTGCCAGGGTTTTCATGCGACGCCAGCCAATACCCCCACTTTGTGGGGGGGCAGTGCAAGCTCTACCAAATATCCACACGACTCTTCGCCACCACCCACACCCAGCTTCCCGCCCTATGACGTTCGGACACTTCACTTCGTGGCCTGCGGACGACCGTGGCTACTACACTGGCGTGGAGTACACACCCACAGAAGTTGTTAAGCCTACGTTCGTACACCCACAGAAGTTGTTAAGCCTTGTTAACCCACAGAAGAGCGTGCGAAAGTAGCTCGCGCGAGCTCATGTAACATAAATGTTGGAAAACCATTGTTTTTTTTAGGATTCGGACAGCGCGCGCGGGTGGAAATTTTGAAAAGTCGTGCAGGTGTTTTTCGAGGACCTACGGTGCGATTCGTGTGATTTTATGATGCGCGGTGCTAAAATTCTTAAGAACCCAATGGTTTTTGGAGATTTCGGCGTGCGCGCGCGAAGAAAAAACGAATGTGTCCCGCATGGTATTATTTGACAGGGATGATGGCCCTGGCAGGTGCGCAACCGTTGTCGCAGAAGTTCGAAAAAGTTGCTCGCAAAAGCCCGTTTGACAGAAATGTTTAAAAAGTGTTGGGTTTCCTACGAATCCGCAAGAGCGCGCGGGATGAGATTTTGACATTTTTTTGTTGAAAAACCATTAGTTTTTTGATGTTTTTATGTTGAAATCGCTCCGAACACTAAGCTTTTGGAAGGATTTCGTCTTGCGCGCGCGAATGTCCACTTTACCTTATTTTTTGCAAAGGATTCTTGAAATTTGATTATATTAGAACAAGAAATGTCATTTTATAGTGTTTTTTGCAAGGGAAAGCGGGGGGGAACAAAACAACCGGATCTTGATCACATCGAATTACCTGAGGCTTCCTCACGAAAATGATGAAAATGTAGCTGCGGCCTAGGCGGCGCAGGGGGGCC